TAGTCCACATTTTGTATCCTACTCTTTCTTTTGACTAATGATACAAATGTTTAACCTAGTCAGTCTCTAAAGAAAGTACAAAGTTTATTATCTCAAATAAAGATTAAACCAGTTAAATGTTGTGTAATTAGAAATTTTCCCAACTGAATTCACTACTTTCAGAAATTTAATTAAATGTTTGTGATTCACAAGCTGCATTAAGTCTTTCCCATAATAAAATCTTCTAAAGTTACTGATTTTTTCCCCCAAACATAGAAACAGGAAATTTTTTTTATGTATTGACATTACATTTACAATATAATGCTTTATGAAATCTAAAGTGTATGTGATTGAAGTTTATTTTTTCCTGTGTGATAATTAAAAATGAAAAAATCTTATCAGTTAAAATATAATTTGTCAATGGGGCCGGAGAGATGGCTCAGTGGTTAAGAGCACTGGCTGCTTTTGCAGAGGATCTGGGCTTGGTTCCCAACACTCACATGGTGGCTAACAACCATTCTTGACTCCAGTTCCAGGGGAATCCAGCTCCCTCTTCTAACCTCCTCAGGCACTGCACAACACAAGTGTACTTACATACAGGCAGGCAGTACACTAATACACATAAAAATTAAAAAATAAAATTTTTCATGATACATCTATTTCAGGTATGTTTAAATCTAAAGATTCACGTTGAAGCAATATATAGCACATTAGCTCTCGGTGAGGTTTGTGCTGATATGGGAGTGACTTCCTCTTTCTACGCACACCACCTGATGCACTTAGGAAGCAGTGCCATTTCATTTTAGAGACTGACTGCTATTATACATCTTGGTGATTGGAAACAGGACATGGAAAAAAGTGCTCAGTACATGAAGTGCAACTTCTTGTCAAACAAAATTATCCTTTGTGTCTACTTTTCTGTAAGTTCAGGAACTGGGAAATACCTATTGTATTGTATATGACTATGGGAAGTATCAGAGTGAACACTCTGCCTGATGTTTTATATTAATTGTGACATTTAGATGAAAGCTGTGAGGGCCTCAGCTGTCGGGCTGCATGGAGCAGAACTGAGCCCGTTCCACTTCTGGTGATTCACATGGACTTCAGTCAGCTCTAGACCTCAGTTGTTCTTGTTTTGTTTTGAGAGAGGGGCTCACTCTGTAGTAAACTCAGTTTTTTTTTAAAAATAAAAAAGACATCTGGGCATGGTTTGATTCTAGCACTTGGGAGGCAGAGGCAGGTGGATCTCTGTGAGTTTGAGGCCAGCCTGATCTACTCAGTGAGTTCCTGGTCAGCCTGGGCTACAGGGGATACCCTGTCTCCAAAAGACCAAGAAAAAAATTACAGTGGAAGACATTTGATGTTAGCTTTTGCTCTACACACGCACAAGCATGTACACCCCTCCCTCAACATGCATATACCATACACAGACCAAAAAAAATGAAAAAAGAAAAAAAAAACTAAAGGCATAAGGATGGGAGGGAATTTGTTAAAGGGGTATAAAGGAATTTTCTAGAAATGATAGAAATGTGCCATATCTCAATTTGGCATGCAACCTGTATGCTTGTTAAAACTCAAATGAATTGTAAAGCTTTTTTGGGTGGGGGAAGGGGAACAGGGTCTCACTATGAAACTCTGACCTAGAACTGAGGTCTGCCTGCCTCTGCCTCCCAAGTGCTACAATTAAAGGTGTATGCCTCCACTCTCAGCAGTTCTTTGTTTTTTGATACTGGTTCTCTCCTTGTAGCTCAGGCTGGCCTGGAGCCACACCACACCTGCTATCCTGTATATCAGTTTTGTTTGGAAAATACTAATATAGGCAGTGAAAACAACAAATGTTTGCCCATTTATTGATCTGGTTATTTATTTATTTTTTGGCATTAAATATTTTAGTTCTTTACATATTCTGGTATCAATCTCCACTCAACTGACTCCCAATTTTGTAGGCTGCTTCATCAGTCTGATAATTGTTTTTTTGTTTTTTATTTTTTGTTTTTGCTGTGAGAAATGTGGGCTGAGGATGTAGCTCTGTGGTACAGCACTTGCCTACTATGTGCAAGACTCTGGGTTTGATCACACACATGTACGCACACACACACACAAAAAAAAAAAAAAAAAAAGAAAAGGAGAAAATAAGGGCCCGAGTCAGATGCAGGAAGATCTCTATGAGTTTGTGACCAGCCAGTGCTCCATAGTGATATCTCAGAAAACAAAATGCCAAGAATAGAATAGAGAAATGCAAAGTTATTATTACAAAGGCTGTATGGTAAATGCACTAGTTTGCTACAGATGTAACAAACTACCACAAACTTGGTTTAAAACAACAGCAGTGTAGTCTCATAATTCTGGAAGTCAGAAGTTAGAAATTAGCACCAGTGAGCTGGAATCCAGTGTCTTCCCTGCAGAGTGATCTTCCAGGGTCTCTTCCTGGTACTCTTTCAGTGTGGAAGTAGCTGCCAGCAGTCCTTGATTGGTGGCTGTATTACTCCGAGTCCTGTGGTCATTATCTTCTCAGTTGCACTGGTATCTGTTTCAATTCTCCCTTAGCCTCCTTTTATAAAGATACATGTGATTTTATTTAAGGCCCACCAGTATACCTCAAAATCCTCAATTGACTAACATCTGCAAAGGTACTTTTTGCCATATAAGGTCTGTTCATAGATTGCAGGGATGTGGATATAGATCTCTTTGGGGAACCATTACCACAACAAATACCTTAAAAGTAGCCTTAGTATAGTTAAATAACAAAAAAGGAAAGAGATTCCCTACTTTTTTTTTCTTTTTTTTCTTGGTGGTGGTGATGGAGGAGAAGGAGTTGAGACAGGGTCAAGCTGGCCTTAAAATCAGTTCTTCATCAGCCTCCAGAGTGTTAGGATCCCTGGAGAGGGTCACCCCCTGCTCCCTTTGTTTTGGTTTTGCATTGTCTTATTGTCTGGGAGAAGAATGAAGTTACATAAAAGCACACAGAGCCTGGCTTAATTCCAGCCCTTATTCCAAAGACAGAGAGAGGCAGGCGGATCACAAGTTCGAGGCCAGCCTGTGCTGCACAGTGAGACTTGTGTGTGTGTGTGTGTGTGTGTGTGTGTGCGTGTGTGTGTATGTGTGTTTGAGTGTGTGTATGTGTGTTTGAGACAGGGTCTCCCTGTAGTCCCAGCTGTCCTGGAACTCACTATGTAGACAAGGCTGGCCTTGAACTCACAGAGATCTGCCTGCCTCTGCCTCCAGAGTGCTGGGATTAAAGGCGTGTGCCACTATGCCTGGCTCATGAGATGTCTTTTAAGAGGGAATTTTCTTTAAGGTATTACTTTCATTTTCCAGCTCGCAAAAAAATGAAAACACTTTATTGATCCTTTTTGAGACAGTTTGGCTATAGCCCCAGCTGACCTGGGAAGTATGTAGACCAGGCTGTCCTTGATCTCAGAGATTCCTCAGCATCTGCCTCCTGAGTGCTGGTATTAAGGGTGTACATCACCTTGCCTGGCAAAATTATTTTTAAAGGCTTTTTTATTATGTGTTTTCCTTTTATGTATCTAGGTGCACTGTGTGTGTCCAATGCCTGTGGAGGTCAGAAAAGGATGTCAGATCCCCTGGAATTGCAGTTATGGACAGTCATGAGCCTCCATGTGGGTACTGGGAACTAAACCCAGGTCCTCTGTAAGAATACCCAGTGCTCTTAACCGCTGGGCCATCTCTCCAGTTCCATGGAGCATGAGTTTTAAATGCAATCAGAAAGAAGCACAGTTTGGAATTCACTGTTATTTTAAGAAACTGGTTTAGGGAAGTTAGTTTTTTAAATTTATGTATTAATTTTATGTGTATGAGTGTATTGCCTGCATGTATAAAAGTGTACCCATGTTGTAAAATGCCCATGGAGGTGAGAAGAGAGTTTGGAGAGCATCAGATTCCCTGAACTGGAATTACAGACTGTTGTTAGCAACCATGTGGGTCCTGGGTATCAAACCTGGGTCCTCTGCAAGAGCAGCAAGTGCTCTTAACCACTGAGCCATCCCTCCAGCCACTAGGGAAGTTACTTTTTGAAGATTAGCTCTTAGGAATTACAGTACCTAGACATAATGTAAATTTAATTTCGAGGTTTACATGTGGGTGGGTGTATTATTTTTTGTACTAGACAGTAAACCTATTGCTTTGGGGGGGGTAGGTCTTCACCGTACCACCGATCTACATCTTGACACCTCCACATGCCCCATATTTTCCCCCTTCCACTGTCTCCCCACTTTAAAAACTTATTTGAGACAGGATTTCCCTGTGCTGCCCAAATGGACTTTGAACTCAGCTCTATACCCCAGGTGGCTTTGGAGTTATAATCTCCTTCTTTAGTCTTCAAAGTAGCTCAGAGTATAGGCCTAAGCCACCAAGCTATGTTACCAAGGATGGCCTTGAACTACTGGTCTTCCTATTTCCATTTCCCAACTACTAGGATGACAAGCATAAGCCACCATGCCTGACTTTTACAAATAGTAGTTATTTTCTTTTATGGTGTGCCTCTAGCTAGTGAAATTACTGTCTTACAATGATTATATTTTGGCTCTCGGGTACATTTTCAGATTGCAGATCTCTTTTTCTTAGAATAGTTGAGCTTAAGATGGGCATGGTGGCCCAGGTCTTTAATCCCAGCACTGGGGAGGCAGAGGCAGGCGGATCTCTATGAGTTCAAGGCCAGCCTGGTCTACATAGTGAGTTCCAGGACAGCTGGGGCTACAGGGTGACCCTGTCTCAAAAAGGCCAAAAAGAAAAAAAAAAGGAATAGTTGAGTTTGGCTTATATTTGGTAGGATAACTTAAGTGGTGTTAGCAGTAACAATATAGTGACTGATTTTTCCAAAGATCTGAGGATAATTTTCCCTGGCTGTCTTATAGTTTTCATACCAGCATTTAAATTAAGTCACGTACAGTCGTTCACATAAAGTTAATTAAAAAAAATCTTAAATCTTAAGTTGTGAAATGTTTATTGTTTCTTCCTGTAATTTTTACTTTTATTCAAGAGAATTGCTATCTCTACAGAGTTCATTGCCAAATTTTAAACAAAATGAATTTTCTTTTGCTTGACAACATGAGGAATTTATCTGGCTTCATGATTCCTTCATTGAAAATTCAGACTGTGCAGGTTACATTGTAATTATTGAGGTTTCATTTTCTTTTTTAAGTATAGATTTATTTTTACATATTTTTCTTTTTAAAATATATTATTATTTTATTTATGTATATGAGTGTATTGCCTGCATGGATATAAGTGCACCTGTGTTGTACCATGCAATGACTATGGATGCTGGGAATTGAACCTGGGTCCTCTGCAGTAGCAGCCTGTGCTCTTAATCACTGAGCCATCTCTTCTCTCCAGTCCCAATTTTTTTAAATTTATTTTTCTATGTTAGTATATGCCACATATTTGTAGGTGCCCATAGAGGTCAGAAGAAAGCATTGTATCCCCTGCACATGGGTGGAGTTATAAGTGGTTGTGAGCCACCCAGTCTAGGGTGGTGGGAACCAAACTCAGGTCTTCTGGAGGAACAGTAAGTACTCCTAAGGACTAAGTCATCTCTCCAGCACTTACTTTACTTTTAATTATGAGGGGTGGGGTGGATGTGTGTGTGTGTGTGTGTGTGTGTGGTGTGTGTGTGTGCCTGCAGAAGACAGAAGCATCACATCCTCTTGGAACTTGAGTTACATAGATGTAAGCTATCCCACAGAGCAGGGAACCGAACTTGTGTGCTTTGCGAGAACAGTACATGTCTTAATTGCTGTGAGCTACCTCTTCAGCCCATATGTGTATGAGTGTATCGCCTGCATGTATGTGAGTGCACCTATGTCATGCAATGCCACAGAGGTCAGAAGAGGACTTCGGCGTCCCCTGGAACTGGCATTAAAGACGGTGCATAGCCTCCATGTGGGTGCTGGGAATTGAACCTGCATCCTCTGCCAAAGCAGCCAGTGCTCTTAACTGCTGAGCCATCTCTTTAGCCTCCTTTTCTGAGAGCATTTTACATACTCATGCAGCTTTGTTTAACATTTTTAGTAATTGATGTCATTTGTAAAACATGGCAGTTAAAAGGCATTGGCCTACCACCTTTTGCCCTGAGTTTTGAGACTGTTGTACTTTCTCAGTCTAACTTGAATTCATTTTTTTTTTTTTTAAGATTGTGTCTCGCTATGTAGCTTGGCCCTTTCCTGACCTGAGCTCACTGCAGCAGTTTTCTTGTTCTGCCTCTCAAGTGCTAGGGTTATAAGCATGAGCCACCACACCCAGCAAACTTACATTCTTACTATTAGTATTGCAGTGGGCTTGGCCTGGAGATTGAAGAAGTGTTTCAAACTGTGTAGTCTAAAAACCCATAAGTGAAGAGATAGAGATTGGAAGACTTCTTAAGATGTTGTAATTGAGTAGGTAGTTCTTCCCCAGCTGTTGACCACATTCAGATTTGTGAATTGAATTGTGAATTCCCTAGGGTCATCGGGACCTGGTTCTGTCTCTGCCCGGTGGCCATTACTCCCTCGCAGTCATTTGTTTCCTTTCTGTAGCTCAGATTTTGGTGAAAGACCAGTGGTGCAGTCTCTTTTTCCATTCTAATTCTGCCTTTTCCCTCTACCTTCTTGTGTGATGGTGGTTTTTTACTACTTTCTCTATAGACTGTCTTGATTGTCTATAAAGACATTGTAGTGGTATAGTAGGTGCTCAGTGAGTATGTACGGAATTGTCTGTGATGCGTCTGGTGCTGTTGCTTTCCTTGGTGTAATCCTTCTCTTGTCGCAAGTTTTTTTTTCTCACTATTTATTTGTTTGTCTTTACATTTGGAATTTTGAGACAAGATCTCTTGTCCTCAAGGCTGACCTTGAACTTGGCTGTGTAGGGGATACTGACCTCAAACTCTTGATCTTCCTTCCTTCACCCCTCAAGTGCTAAAATTTCAGGTGTGTGCTACAACTGGCATTTAAACTGGTTTTGATTTTTGTTTGTTGTTTGATACAGGGTCTTATATATTCTAGACTGGCCTGGAACTCCTGTTCGTTTTGTCTCTACCTCCTGAGTGCTGGGATTACAGGCATGTACCACCGCAGTTTCTTAACTGGTTTATTTTTGTTTTTTTTGACAAAAATTTCACTATGTAGCCCTGACAGCATTAAAACCTCTATGTAAACCAGTTAGTCTCAAGCTCATAGTGATCTGAATCATGGGATTGAAGATGTGCTACCATGGTAGCTTGTTTTCTGTTTCATTTTATTTATTTTTGCCTGTTTTATTGAAGTTTTGTGAATTTCATAAAGTATATTTTGATTGTGTTTAGGTCACCTGTCTGCACCCCTATATTTTTTAATGATTTAAAAAAATTTGGAGGTTGGTCTGGCATGGTGGTGCACACCTTTAATCCCAGCACTTGGGAGGCAGAGGCAGGCAGATCTCTGTGAGTTCAAGGCCAGCCTGGTCTACGTAGTGTGGTCCAAGACAGCTGGGGCTACAGGGAGACCCTGTCTCAAAAAGACCAAAAAAAAAAAAAAAAAAAAAAAGCCTGTTCTAAAACTGCTTTACTAGGACCCTTTTTAATTTTGGAAGACAACTTGCAGGAACCAGTTCACTCCTTCCCCCATGTGGGTTGCAGAGATCAAGTAAGGTGGTCAGCCTTGGTAGCAACTATTGTTACCCACTGAGACTTCTCACTAGGTAACTGGGCCATCTCACTGTCTCTAGGAACAATTTTATTATAACTTGTTTTTGCAGTTATGGGGATCAGACCCCTCCTGTGTGGGTCCTGAATGCTAGACAAGCCCTCTACTAGTGAGCATTACACCCCAGCATATTGTTTTTTTTCTCACATTTATGTATTTATTGTGTCAGAGGGTGCATGTATAAAGGTCAAAAGATAGCTTTTGGAAGTCCTTTCATGTGGGTCCGTGAGATCAGACCATCAGGCACCGGAGGCAAGGGCCTTTACTCCCTGAATCATCTTACCAACCCTTTTTTATTTTACTTTGAGACAGGCTCCTTACTGAGTTGTCCAGGCTGGCCTTGAATTTGCTGTCTTCCTGCCTGAGCCTAACAAGCTGGCCTTATACGTATGTGCTACCATGACCAGCTCAAAAACTATTTTTTTTAATTTTTTAAATTTTTATTGTTATTTTATGTATATGCATATATTGCCTGCATGTAGGTAAGTGCACCCGTGTCGTGCAATGCCTGCAGAGGTCAGAAGAAGCTGTGAGATCCCCTGGGACTGGAGTCACAGACAGCTGTTAGCAGCTAAGTGGGTGCTGGGATTTGAACCCGAATCTTCTGCAAGAACAACCAGTGTTCTCAACTGCTGAGCCATCTCTCCAGCCCCTGAAAACTATTTTATTTAAAAATGTTGTGTTAATTTTTTAAATTTTTGGTGTAGGTATATATGTGGGGAGGGGCATGCCAGTGGGATTGCAGGCATGTGCCTCTGCATCTGTGTTTTCCCTCCCTCCCTCCCTCCCTCCCTCCCTTTCTTTCATTTTGGTCTTTTTCAGACAGGGTCTCCCTTTAGCCCCAGCTGGCCTTGAATTAACTGTATAGAACTGACCTGATCTCACAGAGATCTGCCTGCCTGCCTCTGCCTCCCTGGTGCTATGATTAAAGGCATGCACCACCACACCTAGCGGCATCTGGGTTTTGCATGGATTCTGGGGATACAAATTCAGGTTGGCAGGCTTGTGTGGCAGAAGTGCTTTTACCTGCTGAGCTTGCTCTCCAGTCCTTGTGAACTATTTTAATGCCCCCCCAAAAAACCAAAACAAACAAAAAATAGAACAGTAGATGACTGGAAAGATTGCTGCAAGTTCTAGACCAAAAAAAAAGGTGTTATACTTATTTCTTCCTTGATATAAAGAGACATACAGATCTTAATTTCTAGAACTAGTGAAGTTCTCTAATCTGAATTTGGGTATTTGTAGTGCTCAGTTCGTTCAATCTACCTTTAGCTTTCTTAGCACAGTGTTGTTTGAGGCAGGGTCTCACTTTGTAGGTCAGGCTCTTCTGCAGCATACCATGTAGCTTAGGGTGACCTCAAACCTGTAGCCATCCGCTGTCATGAGCCATCCCTGTCCAGCTTCAGACCCAGGCTTTTAAGGTGACTATGGTACAATGCTACAAGAAATGAGAGGGTTGGTGAAATGGCTCATGGGATAAAGGCATCGCCACCAACCCTGAGGGGTGGCATTTGTCCCCTGGTCCCACATTGGTGGAAGGAGAGAACCTACTGTCACACACGTTACCCCCGATACACACACACACACACACACACACACACACAATGTTTAAAAAAATTATGGAATATTCCTTTAAAATTAGTGACTTGGTCTTGTTATAGATCCTGCCAGCACCACGAAGACCTGATTTTGATGCTTCACAGGAAAAGCTACAGAAACTTGGAGAAGGGGAAGGGTCGATGACAAAGGAGGAATCCACAAAGATGAAACAGGAGCTGGAAGCGTACATGATCGTTTTGTTGTGCTTTTGTGAATTGTCCTTGTTTTAAAGGCTTTTTTTGTGCTCTCTGGTGTCCCATTATTTTAGCCATTTCACCATACTGACTCTGAAAGATCCAGGTTTATTTCAGTCATATCAGCTAGCATTAATGATCATAATCAGAGCCTACAGGAAAATTAGAGCCTTGTCTCCATTGTCAGATTCTTTTAATAAATGTAAATAAATTCTGAAATCTAAAAGCTTATAAAAAAGAGTAGGAGGAGAACATGACTTTTAAAAGCAGCATACGAATTTAAATTATTTTAAGGCCTCAGTTATCACCAACCTATTTCTCAATATGTACCTCCTCTAAAACTTCCAGTTTGTGTAGGTAGAGAGTACTGAGCAACATTTTCCATGTTTTCTTTAAAACAAAATACTTAAAAAAAAAAGTCTGGCATGGTGGCACATACCTATAATCCCAGCACTTGGGAGGTATAGGCAGGAAGATCAGCAACTCAAGTCCAGCCTAGGCTACATGAGACCCAATTTCAAAAATAAAATATAGAAGTGCTTGGATATATAATTTCCTTTACTCTGCTGGCTGCTTCTAACTTAAAGGAAAAGAATGGGGAAAATTAAGGAGAATAGTTAAGAAATTTTTTTATTATTAAATGACTATCCGTGGGACATGGAAGAGATGGCTCAAAGGTTAAGAGCACTTTCTGCTCTTATTGAGGACCAGAGATTCGGTACCTAGACCCACATTAGATAACTAGGGGATCTGACATCCTCTTCTGGCCTCCATTGGCACCCTCATGTACTCACACATACAAAAAATTAATAAATTACTATTAGTTTCATATACTCAAAAGTTATGGAATTTTAATAGTTGCTGAAAATAGTTTCCCCTCCCCTTTTAAACTAAACTTTCAAACTTTGTACAGTCAGTATATTGAAAGAGAAAAATACAGATCAGAGATACAATGTCAAGTGATAGTTAGGATAGAGGTGATGAGATGACTCAGTACTAAAGCACTTTCCAAGCCTGCTTGGAATCAAACCCTGGAACCCACATAAAGATGGAAGGAGAGAACTGACTCCATAAAGCTATCCTCTGACCACTACATGCATGCCATGGCAGATATGCACAGTAAAAAAAAAAAAAAGAAAAAACTGCCAGTGGGCCATGTGAGTGAGAGTACTCTAGGGCCTTACCAGTATTTCGAGAGTTGTACAGGGAATGATTTTTCCTGTATTACTGTCACCCCCAATTCTTTTTTTGTGGCCATTTTCCCTTTCATGAATTTCCTTTACTTTTCTGCTTAGTTTCTTTTCAAGAAAATATTCACACTGCTGCTAGATGCCTTCTGAATTCTAAATACATACTTTTGGTGAATAATAGATGAACTGAGTGTGATGGCGCACACCTTTAGTCCTAACACTCCGGGGACAGAGACTGGCAGATTTCTATGAGTTTGAAGCTAACCTAGTGTACATAGTGAGTTCCAGGCCAGTCAGGACTGTATAGTAAGACCCTGTCTCAAAGTAAAAAGATTATTAAGCAAAGTAGGTCTTTGTCAAAGTGTAACATGACAGCTATTGTAAGAATCCTGTAATGTTGGGTGCAGACAGTGGTCTGATAGCGGTATATCCTTACCATTTGTAAGACTGAAGGCTGGAAATAGAGCAGAGACTTTAATTCAGAAGTCTCTGATTTTCCAGTGGCCCTGATCATGGTTCTTTTGTGGTCTGGTTATGGGTTGGATAACAGAACCTTGGGTTTATTCTTCTGCTACTTCCATCCTCTGCCTTCTCCTTTTTTGTCTTCACTGAATGACTACCATCACACGGACCAAACTCTTCCCAACACTGAGTCTGCTGGTCTCCTAGTACGTAAAATTTATCCTTCTTTCACATAGTTGAAGCAAGAATATCAGGTCTTTTCCTTGAGTGGATTTTCTACCCACAAACTGACTTGTATGGTTTCTGGCATTCATTGATGATCTAAAATACCTTAAACACATTTTTTAAAAATATAATGCCATGAACAGTATCTCTATGGTGGGTCTTTCTCGAATATTTGGGCCATTATGTGAAAATAATTAACATTGAAAACATGCTTATTGAGGTTTGGGTACTTTTTTCTACACAGCTGTTTAAAAGCTGTAATTATATAGAAATTGCATAATTAAGGTTGCAACAAATAATTTCTCTAGCACTACAAACAAATACTTAAATACTGACACTTAACACCCACTTGCAGAGTAAGAATAGTTTATAAAGCTTTAGATATTAACTTTTAAATGCAGTAAGTGCTAAACTAGCATGAAGGCTTTTTCAGAAATGAATTTTATATATTTACTAAAAAGTTCAACTAAGAATTTTTTTCACACACATGACAACTTTAGATCCCGAATTTTGCACGTAGAGTACTTAAATGTGTGTTTGTTGAAAAATAATGTTGCAAATGACTTCCTAATTGATATATTTGTTACTCTTGATTTTGTGTGTTGTTTCTAGTGAGTATCTGGCAATATTCAAGAAGACAGTTGCCATGCATGAAGTGTTCCTGTGTCATGTTGCAGCACATCCTATTTTGAGGAAAGATTTAAATTTCCATGTCTTCTTGGAATATAATCAGGATGTGAGTGTCAAATCAATGAGAGCAGCGATGTAGAGTATTTATTGATTGGTTTGGGGGGATTTGTGAGGTTTTTAAATTTTAAATTAATTTTTTTATGTGTATGAGTGTTTTGCCTGCATGTATGTGAATGCACCCATGTGCAATACCCATGGAGGTCAGAAGAATTGTCAGATCACCAGGAACTGATGTTAAGGACAGTTGTTAGCCAGCATGTAGATACTGGGAACATAACCCAGGTCCTATACAAGAACAGCCAATGCTCTTACCTGCTAAGCTATCTCTCCAGCCTCCAATTGGTTGGGTTTTTAAGTCTTTGGAGGGACTGTGGAGGTAAACTGGGTGGTAAAGCACTTACCTAGCATGAGCAAGATTCTGGGTTTGATACCCAGCACCAAAAATAAATAACTAATCATTGGAAAAGGCAAGAAAGGCAACAGGCTTTTTTTTTTTTTAAAGCATTTGTATGTTTTATTTGCTTTCTGAGACTGGATCTTATTTTGTGGCCCTGGCTGGCCTGGAGCTCACAGAGATCCACCTGCCTGTGCCTCCCACCTGTTTATAAGAGTACTCATTCTATTCATGAAGGCTCTTCTCTGATCACCTCGTCAGCTCTCAACAGTCTACCTTCAAGTACATCACCTTGGGTGTTCAGTTTCAATATGGGATTTGGAAGGAACACTTAGCATTCATACCATAGCAGTCAGTGTAGATTTGTGACTCAGTTATCTAAAGTTAAGTGTTCTGTAACAGTCCTGTCTTGATGTATGAGGGCTGTCTCCAATGTATCATAAGACTGAAAGAGAAGCAGACAGATCTTGAATTGCACAGAATGTAGTTTATTGTCAGACTTAATAAAACAAGCATGGTCCTAGGTGGCATGAAGCCTGGTAAGAGCCCCACCATTTGCCTATGTATTAGGACACAAAGGAGCCTATATGTTAGGACAAAAAGTATTTCATACTTCCACCTGCCTCTGCCTCCCATGTGCTGGGATTAGAGGCGTGTGCCACCACACCTGGCTATTTTTTTATTTTTTACAAAATATTTTATTTTTACTTTATGTATATGAATATATTACCTGCATGTGTGTAAGTGTACCTGTGTTGTGCAATGCCCAAGGAAGTCAGAAGAGGGCATTGGATCCCCTGAAACTGAAGTTACCTGCCATGTAGGTGCTTGGAATTGAACCCCTGTCCTCTGCAAGAGCAGTCAGTACTCTTTACTGCTGATCCATCTCTCCAGCCCTGTGTATTCAATATTTATCTGTTTGTAGTTTATGGAAAAACTATGCAGGAGCTGGGCATGGTGGCAGATGCCTTTAATCCCAGCACTCCGCAGGCCGATGCAGGTGGATCTCTGAGTTCATGGTCAGCCTGATCTGTATCATAAGTTCCAGGCCAGCTGGGGGCTATAGAGAGACCCTGTCTCAAAAATACCAAAAATACCAAAAAAAAAAAAGAGTTATGCATGAGAAATTGACTAGGGTTACTCTGGATCATTTAGTTCTGAGTCAAAATAGTAGTAGTTAGGTGGGCTTTAACACCATGGCAGCTCATAAGGAAATTAGATGGAACATTGCTTTATTGGGGCATTCTGAAGCACCAAGTGCCAAGGGTTAAAAAGTTCACTCCTAGTAAGTTTTGCCCTGGGTAATCATTCAAGCTTCCAACATCTTCCACAGTATTCCAAACCCCCCCATGGTCAGGGTCTTCACAGCCAATAGCCCACTCTCTGGTACCAATTACTGTATTAGTCACTTTTCTGTTGATGTGATAGAAACACTGACCCAAGCAATTTATGGAAGGAAGAGTTTATTTGAGTTTATGGTTCCAGGGGGTATTACAATCTGTCATGGCAGGGAGGCGAGGTAGCTGGAGCAGGAGCAGCAGAAGCTGAACTCTTGCATCATCACATAGGCACAGGAAGCAAGAGAGCAACTGGAGATCCTACAAGGCTTAAGAACTCTAAGCTCACCCCCAGTGATGTGTGTCCTCCAGGATATCCACACCTTATAAGACTTGCCAAAACAGCACCATCATCTGGGGACAAAATGTCCAAATACTTGAACCCTGTGGGGGACATTTTCATTCAAACTACCACAGGAGCTTTATAGGGTTGATTTTTACTGGTAAGAAAAGCAGCTATTTGGAGCTCTGGATAGACTGGGGTGGGGGTGGCCAGCCAGGAATGCTTTCTAGGTGAGGGTATCAGAAGGGCCCAGTTTAGCTGTAGGAAAAGCACAGTGGCATGATGGAAAGATCTTAGTATTCAAGGGCCAAACAGCCCTAGGGCTGAACCCTTAATCTCCTGCTTTCCAGTCTTTGGATCTCACTTTGTGCTTGTGGAAAGAGGCAATAGAACCATTGTGGTTGGATTGGTGTCTGTATTGAATGTGTAGTGTTATCTGCAGTCAGGTGTGTGAAAGTACCTGCCATCAGGGGTAGTATCACTGAATTTCGATGAACAGATGGCTCCTTTAAGGACAACTCAAATTATCCCATATAATTTTTGAAGCTGTCAAAACCTTATTGCCTCCATTAGCAGCATTTGATATGCACTTTATATTGTCTTCTGTTTTCCCTATGAATAAAGTAACGTGCTGAAAACCAATTCTATAGAGAAGTAGTCTCGTGATGAGTGTGAGGAAGGGCCCTGACTTAGTAGCCTGTTGGTTGTGACATCTTCTTTGCTTCATCCACTATTAAGGATAAAGACTGCCTTGGGCCACCCAAGGAAGTTGCAAACACTAAGACTTCTATTCTTGCAGCCACCCAGCCCCTCCCTTTTCCATTGCCCTAGTGTCAAGTTTACCTATGTCTTTCAGACTCTTCTCCCATATTCACAACTCATGCTGTGTACTTCAGGCTTCTCAGGACCTCTCTTTGGCCTTCTGCCTATTTTTCCCATATGCACTCTTGCCTCTTCTCAGTCCATTTCTACATGACAGCTGGGGTACTATTTTTGGAGTAGATCTGATTGTGTCTGGCTCAAGCCTCCAGTCTTTCTTTGCCTTTGGAACCTGGTCTTCTCCCTTCCTCACTGTCATCTGGTGTCCTGCTGCCTTCACTCTGCCACTCCAGTCACACTGCCTACCTCTGCTGTGTGGAAGGAATCTTAGTCCCCAAGGCATAGGGCTTGTATACATGTTTTCTATCTAGCTGGAAAATTCTATAGCCAGTTAGTCCTCCCAGATACTAGGTTAGCCCTCATCTCTACAGGAAGCCTCCCTTGGCCCTTTAGATGAATGTTAGTCCCTCAAGTCCCTCCCTACCTCATATCTTCTCAGAATGGAGTATTTCTCCCCTCTGGTCCTATTGTGATCACAAATTCATTTATATGATGGGCTGAATATCTGTATTCGCCACCAGTTTGAAACTCTGAATCTCTAGAACCTAAGATGGTGGTTACATGATAGGTGTTCAGTCAGTGCTCTCCTCTATTACTTTTCACCTTATGTTTTGAGACCCGGCCTCTCACTGAACCTGGAACTCACTGATTGGCTAGACTGGCTGACCAGAGAGCCACCAGGATACTCCTACCTCTGGCTCCCTACTATTGGGATGATAGATGCTTGCTGCCATGATCAGCTTTTTTACATGGATGCTAGGGATCCAAACTCCAGTGCTCAGGCTTATGCAGCAAGCACTTTATCCACTGAACCATCTTTTCAACCCCTTGTTTTATTTTTATTTTTTATGTGTATGAGTATTTGTAAGTGTACCCATGTTGTGCAGTGCCTATGGAGGCCAGAAGAGGGCATCAGATCCTCTGGAACTAGAATTACAATTGTTAGCCACATGTGAGTGCTGGGAACCAAACCCAGGTCCTCAGCAAGAGCCACCAGCGCTCTGTTGCTGTGATAAAACATTGACCAAAACCAACTTGGAGAGAAAAAGGTTTATTTGGCTTATAGGTTACAGCCCATCATTGAGGGACCCCAGGGCAGGAGCTCAGGTAGAAATCTCTAGGAAGGAGCTGAAGCATAAACAATGGAGGAATGCTTTGTACTGGCTGCTCCCTCTGGCTTGTTCAGCTACCTTTCTTATACATCCCAGGCCCACTTGCCCAAGGGTGATACTGCCTACAGTGTGATGAGCCCTCCTACATCAATTTAGCAATCAAGAAAATGCCCCACAGACATGCTAACAGGCCAGTCTTGGGAGACAGTCCTTCAGTAGAGTTTCTGTCCTCACAAGTGTCTCTAGTGTATATCACATTGGTAAAAACTAACCAGCACAAATATAATGGAACACAGTTTAGCAATTCCTCAAAGACTTTATTATATGATCCAGAAATTCCAGTTCTAGATATATGCCTGAAAGAGCTGAAAGCACAATTTTCTTTCAGGCATATATCTAGAAGTGGAATTTCTGGATCATATAATAATTAAAGTCTTTGAGGAATTGCTAAACTGTGTTCCATTGTTATGAGGTTCCCAATGTTTCCACACCTTCCCTCCTCCCTCATCTCCCTCTTGTCATTTTATCAGTTGTAAAGTGACCCTTCTCAGATGTATGATGTGGAAATGTTTTCTCTCATTATATAGAATGTAGTTTGTTTTTCTTTTTGGTAGGATTTTACTGCCTAGGTTGTCCTTGAACCTGGAAGCTCAAGCAGGTCTGCCTAGGCCATGCACAGCAACAGCAGCTAAGTTGTCTTTTCACTGCCTTGGTAATACTCTTTGAGGGAGAGAAGTTTTAATTTTTGATGAAGTCCACTTCATCTATTTTTTTTTCCTTTGGTTGCTCATGTTTTTGGTATCAAAAAATACACTGCTAAATCTAAAGTGAAAACTTGCCTGTTTTCTCCAGGTTTATGGTTTTCATGTAGATTGTCGGTCTATTCTGAGGTACTCTTTGTGTATGGTTTGGCTTCATCTTTTTTGCATATGGCTATCCAATTATCCTGTCATTTTCTGAAGAGACTATTTTTTAAAATCATATTTAGACCTCTTGTCCCATCTGCATCCCCCTATGGCCCCACTAGATTTCATGCCTTCTGTCATATATGTTAAGGCCT